GGTTCCCCGACAACCGCCCTGGAAAGGCAAGGCTCCGGGCGGACCCCTTAGGGGGTCCGAAGCAGGGGTACTAGAGAGGTCCCCGGGAGGGTCGAGGCGTGTCACCACAGCCCCTCGCAGAGCTTTCCCTGCCTCCCCTTCAAGTTTCTGCTACGAGTCCAGTTCATTCAGTACCCCGGCCACCCCCACCGCGGCGCAGGCCTTCCCCCTTCTCTACCACGCGACCAGTCGGTCTCGCCTCGGCTCCCCGGCCTCAGTCCAGTACCTGCACGTCTTCATTGCGGAGCTCGTCGATTAAAACCGCGATTGGGTATAGCGAATCATCTCCATCTCCCCCCGCTGCTCCTGGGCCGGTCCCGAGCCCCGATGCGCCCGCCATGTTCTTTCTCCTCCTGCTGCTGGTCACCGCCTCCCGCCCCGCGCCCAGGCCCCGCCCCCGCCCCGCGCCCGGGCAGCAGGGAAGAAGGCCGCCACGCGGGTTTAGCAGAGGTTGGGGAGTTGAGTTTCTGTCCCGATGATTAAGACTCCCTTCCGACCCCCACTGCAGGAGTTGTAGGTCTGAACTCAAGAAGACGGGTGGGCTGAGAAAGCGAATGGAACCCCTGCGTCCTTTCCCCAGCCGAAAGAAACAGGGACAGGGATTCATCCGGCTCCTTGTAGTCTGAAGGGGCCAGGGACCTACCTGAGTGATCCGCGCTGTGCCCTCTTAAGACTCAGGCTGACCAAAGAGAGTGCCCGAGGCCAGGAGGAAAAAGGCTTTAGCACCTCCCCTGACTTCATCCTGGCCCTGAGCCACTGGATCTCCAGCCCTAATTTCTTCGCTCAGCCTCAAGCTTCCATAGAACCCCTCCACCTCTTCCCTCGGCCTGTTCTCCAGAATGGTATCTGGCTCCTGCTCCGTAAGACAAATAACGCGGGCGGTGAGAGAAAATGAACAGTGCTGTCCAAACTCCCCAGTCAATATTTTTTCCACGCAAGCTGTTAAAAACATGCTGCTCTCTTGTTTTTGTGTTTCTTTTCAGTTTGGTACTGGAATGGTGCCTTCTGTTGTATTTTCTTCCTCCCATTTTCTAGCTCTTTAGCATGCTAGAAGTACAACAATGAAGCAAAACTAGGACAAGCTTTAATCCCTTGAGGAAGAAAACCCAAACTGGCCTCCCTAGACCTCCAAGAGTCCTCAGAGGCAGCAAGGGGAAGAGGTGGAGGTCTGGGAGCTCGTTCTTACAAACCTGAATGGAAAGTTTTCACTTACCCTTGTCAGGGTAGCACAGAATAATTAGAATGTTTTGTTTGTTTTAGACTGGAATTTAAGCAGCTTGGAGTGATAACTACATATGGTGATCACAAGCTCCGAAATGGTAATTCTATGTGCCTGATTAATGAAACTATTAATGCAGTGTAGGAGACAGACTTTTTTAAAACATAGGGTCTGAGGCCGAGGCGGACGGATCACTTGAGGCCAGGAGTTCGAGACCAGCCCGGCCAACTTGGTGAAACCCCATCTCTACTAAAAATACAAAAATTAGCTGGGCTGGTGACCGGCACCTGTAGTCCCAGCTACTCAGGAGGCTGACATGAGAATCTCTTGAGCCCCAGAGGCAGAGGTTGCAGTGAGCCAGGATCGCACCACTGTACTCCAATCTGGGCGGCAGAGTGAGACCCCATGTCAAAAATAAATAAATAAATAAATAGGGTTCTTGGAAGTAAGCACAATAGAGCCTGTGAATGAATGAATGAATGAATGAATGAATGAATGAATGAATGAGGTGCTTGGAAGTAAGCACAATAGATAGAGCCTTTGATAGTAATGAAAGTTTGGGAACCAGCAGACCTGAACAGTTTTTCTCAAATTATGTTTGTGGATGTATTCTCTAGGGTTTTAATTTTATTTTCATTTTCATATTTTTTAGATTTGCATAAGCATATTCTGAATTATTTGGGTGACCACCTTACAACTCAGTATTGCCACACAATTTCAGCACCTACATTTACATGTGTGTTTTAGTGCTGCTTTTATTGTTCTGGGATAATGAGAAAAGAACAGAGGTGGTTTTAAAATAAGAATGATACTTTCATGCACAAAATGAAAGCCAAATGACATCATGAGATTGCACTATTTGGTAGTTGTAACAGAGAAAAATGGTGAGAAAATTAAGATATCAGGAGTCATTTGGTGGCATAGGCATGTTGAACACAAAAGAAGCTGAGCTATAGCAGGCGACGAGGGATGATAGTTTTAGCAAAATACATCATTTGTCATGTTAAATTACTGTAATATTTTTAATTGAATAGTATTCATTTTGTGGTTTCATTTGTATTTAATTTGTAAATTTGTTGTGGTTTCTGTAGCTGTATAAGAACCAGAAATAAAAGCACATTATTTCCTACTTTATATTTGTAAATTTAAATAACCACAGCATAATAAAAACAATTTAGCTAAATGTGGTAATGCACGCCTGTACTCCCAGTTACTTGGGAGGCTGAGGTGGGAGGATCACTTGAGCCCAGGGGTTCATGACCATCCTGGACAACATAGCAAGACCCCCATCTCTAAAATAATAATAATAATAACAATAATGATTTAACTGAGAGTTTTCAGGATTTTAAAAAATTATTGTCGTGTGTGTGTTTTTAAGAAACAGCATCTTGCTCTGTTTCCCAGGCTGGAGTGCAGTGGCACAGTCATAGCTTACTGTAACCTTAAACTCCTGGACTCAAACAATCCTCCATCCTCAGCCTCCTGAGTAGCTAGGAGTATAGGCATGTGCCACCACATCTAGCTTCGCGTGTGTGTGTGTGTGTGTGTGTGTGTGTGTGTATGGAGACAGAGTCTCGCCATATTGCCCAGGCTAAAAATGGATTCATATATTTAATACTACCCAACTTTGAGAGACAGAGGGCTAAGAGATTTTTTAA